TAAGCGTGGACGTCAGAGAGTCGAGTGACGTAAGTCTAATAGTTCGATTAGAACTTACAATGTTTTAACTAGATGGTGGAAGAATGAGACATTTGTTTGTGTGATTTATGCCCGGCATGCCATTATAAACCAGCGTATGACATGTTGATAGAATTATGTCAAGATAAACACACGAACTACTTAATATCGAGCTCTTTTCAATCCCTTCCTCCTTCTTAGGGTTTCGCGGAATGTGAGGCGAGGAAGAAGTCAACCACACCCACCTTGATGGTAAGATTAGGGTTTACAGTGAAATTGTTAGCACAATGGTTAACCAAAGCCTCCATCATTGCAGAAGCAACGATGACAAGGAAGATGGGATACGAAACCTCGCTGGCGAGATCAGGCTCGGCAAAAAGATGGAAAGGAATGGAAAGAATCGACAACGTCATAAACCCTTGCCGAACCGGAAGGAAGAACCGAACGCGGCGTCTAGATTTAGGTTAAAGAAAAGAAGATAAATCCAGAGACTTGATCTAGGGATGGAGATCCGATGGTTCGCGATCGATGGCCAAATTTGGAGTCGCGTTTTGTAGCACTCACCTCTTGGGAAAACCATGCTCCCGCGCAACGGACGGCCGAGATTTTGCCCTAGGGCCGAACGCACGATCGGGACGGATCGGCCAAAGCCGGGGCGCAAATACTCGCGGAAGCACCCACGGGATTCCCCGGAAATAAAACCCACTCCTCCTCCATCTCCACCTCCACCTTCCAGGCTGCCTGCCCCTCCTCTTTCTCTCCCCCCCTGCGCTCCCACCACCGCCTCCTCCCCGTCGCCGCGCCCCGCCGCCGGGAGCCCCAGACGCCATTGCCCACGCCCCCATGGACGGCGCCGGCGCAGGAGGGGCGTACGTCGCGCGCACGGCGGAGGAGGTCTTCCGCGACCTCCGCGGCCGCCGCGCCGGCATGATCAAGGCCCTCACCGAAGGTGCGCGCGCTCGCCCGCCCCCGCCCCCCTCCCGAATCGGCCCTCCCGGTTCTCGCTTCTTTTCCCCTGGATTCGCGTCGCTGAGCTGTTTGTTTCCCCTTGCTGTCGTTGCAGATGTGGACAAGTTCTTCAAGCTCTGCGACCCTGGTGAGCGCCTCCGATCTCCTCGGGTTTCTCGCCCGCGCCGGGGATTCTCGAATGAGGGGGCCTTTTCGTGTTCGGCTGTTTGAGTTCGGTTGCTTTAGTGTTAGATTGGAAGCTGAAATTGGAGAATTTTCGGTTCCGTTTCCTCCCTCACGTGCTGCTTCGAGTTGGAATTATGGGTGTTTTTCGGGTGCCTTCCATCAATGCTGTGCTGGGTTCCTGGTGCTAGGTTTTGTTCAAAGATTGGGACTCTGGGTCGTAGTTCTTCTACAGAGAAAAGTATTCCGGGGGTTGATTGGAACTGGGGAATCAGGGCTAGGTCTTCCTTTCCTGTGGAATTGTAGCACTCGGTTGTTGCCATCAGACTGAGATTGGTAGCTTCACCGGTCAATTTTACTGAAAATGCATAATATATTAGGCAAGTTGCTGCTGACTAGTTGACTTCCGGTGTGTTTTTGGTGTCTTTGCAGCTCTGCGTATGCGTTTGTTTGTTAGGTTCATCGCTGTTGCCTTAGCCAATTTAGTGGAGTCGTGGGCATTAGTGACATGACGACGGGGCTGAGTAGTAGTGAAACTGACTTTAGCAGTGTTCTTTCGTTGCATTGATAGCACAGGGCATCGATATCAGTGCATCTGGTTGTAATAAGTGATTGCTTACCCTATTCATGTACTCCTAATTACTGTGAAGTTTTCGTTGCTTACCATCATTGAACATTATATTACGATTTGGTCCACATCGCTATATGCATGACAATTCCACTCTAGTGAGCACTGTAGTTCTGGGCATGATTACTCAGACTGATGCTGTACAGGGTATTATTGCTACTGCTGCTAATCCCATGTTATTGAACAGAAAAGGAGAACTTGTGCCTTTATGGATATCCCAATGAGACATGGGAAGTGACCTTGCCAGCTGAGGAAGTGCCCCCGGAGATCCCTGAACCAGCATTAGGAATCAACTTCGCTAGGGATGGAATGAATGAGAAGGATTGGTTGGCGCTAGTTGCAGTTCACAGTGATTCCTGGTTGCTGTCCGTTGCATTCTACTTTGGAGCCCGCTTTGGCTTCGACAAAGAAAATAGGTAATTATTCTATTGTTGAACTATGCGGGGTTCTTTTCCCCTCTCATGTGCACTCCTTTTTTTCATCTCGATTTCATTTCATTGTGAACACTAAATTGGTATGGTTCATGTGTTAGGAACTTAGGATTCCTGTCAATGGCTGTTAACTGTTGCTCACACACAATCGTTTATTGTCGGGATTGTCAAATGGAATGTGTTCTGTGCATATTTGTTACTGTGGACCATGTAAAAAAATGATATTACACTGGCAAGTTAAACTAGTGAGAAATATCAAAACCTAAATTGGTTATAGCATATGTTTATAAACTTTATAGCTTTGTCATATTTGAAATTTATATTTTAGCTTGAAAGTTATGAATTTCCAGGCCCTGTTGTGACATGAACAGGGAGGGTCTGGGATTCTGGAAATGCGTTTTACTTAATTATGTTCTCTCAGGGTTTTCTGTTGGCAGTTTTAATTTCACATCTTTTTGTCAGTGGTGATTGGACACTAGAACCATGTTTTAGCATGATTTTTATAGGTTATTTTACCATCATGATTCATAGAAATTACATAATGTAGTTTACCTTCCAGTATCTTGTTCTGTCTTTTCATGTATAATATGAGTCATTCTGTATCTGAAATGCTAAATGCATGTATTGGTGAGAGCTGCGGCATGACATGATTTGCAGTTTTGCACATCATTGTCCTGTCTACTTTACTGTCACAAATATGACATGTTTGAAGTTTAGGGCATTGCGTATTACTTTATTAGTGCATCAAGTGTCTACCTTTTGTGGATGTCAGTTGTGCTGCATAGAGAGAAACGATGATGATGTTGATTCACATACTATTACTGGTGCAAATACTTTTGAATTGCTACTTGGAATATAGGCTTTATGTGATGCTTCATGGTTACTCCATTAATTCTCATCTTTCCTTGCTATATCATACTAGACTTAAATATGTTTTTTGACAGTTGATTCATTATTCATGTTTGTGTGGTTCAAAAGATGGTTTTACTTGAGAAAATGGATCTTTTACTATTTGGAGTAGGCGCTGCCTTACTGCAGTTAGTTATGTTTGTTTTGTAGCAGCGTAATGTACTTGTTGGCACAGCATGGTGTATATCCACTGCTCCTCACATTTCACAGATATTGGGAAAATGTTGCCAGGCACTTTAGAAAATGTGCACTGGTTGAAGAGGGTTTGTATCCTACAAAATAAACATAGTTCACCATATTAACCACTAGTTATCTTGTTTTAGACAATGTGATTGCAACCATGATTTCTACAGTTGAAGTAAGAACTACAATAAGTCGTTTGCAATTTTGTGGCGATCTTTCATCAAGAAAGCAATGACATTGAAGTCTTAAGATGTTTCTGTTCTCTTGGCGTAAGCACGTGCACACCTCTAGCCACTCTCACAGTCACACACAAACTGCTTGCTCTATTCCATGTACAGTCTACTGATCAGTAGAATGAATCTTGGCTGTGAAACAGAATGTTTTGTTGTTTGCTTTGTTAGGCTCAGTCCATTTTTGCAGAGTTTCTTTGTTTAAGGTGTTAAATGCCATTGGCTGTTTGTCTGTTTGAACAACTCATGCTTAAAAGACATTGTAGTTGAGATATAGAGCTATGTCCACCATGGATTTCTTTTTTGGTCTGAAAGACATTGCAGTAGAGATATAGAGCTATGTCCACCTCCTTAAAAGTTATAGCTTCACTATCAGTAAACACTTTTGTTTTTTCCCTCTCCTGTTTCTGTATCCTTTCTCCTTTTGCACTGAGTTGTTTCTGACATACTGTAAAAATTTACCGACTCAATATTAGAAGCATGAAGACCTCCTTCTGGACATTAGAGTCGTCATATGATACTAGTGTTCTGTAGTTCTCAGTGCAGATGATTTGATAGAATGCCCAGGGCTTAAGAATGGGGTATCGGGATGAATCAAATCATACTAGTGTTCTCTGGTCTTCTTTTACAAAGGACTTTTGCTATTTTTCTGTTCTGCACATCTTGCTGTTCTCTTGTACTTTGTTTCTCCTGGGTGTTCCATAAAAACCTAGGATGCCAGCCTGTATCCACTTCTTTCCAAGTAAGAAACAGTGCCGAGTGTCTTGACTAATGTGGGGATAATAGTATTGATAGTTGTAGCCAGAGTAAAAACAACCTCACAACCATTAAGAAAAACAGGAGAGGGGTTTCCTGCGTAGTTGTCAAAAATGGCTTGAAGCTTGCAGGGAAGAATACCCATGTTTGCATGAACATTGGGCTTACATGAACATTGGGCGTGCATGAAAACTTGGTTGGCTGTGCTGGAAATACAAACCCACTAGACTGAGAAAAGAATAGACAGATTTACAGTGTGATAAAAGAACATGTGTCATGCATGGAAATTTGGTTGGGTGTGCTGGAAATACAAACCAACTAGATTATCTTCACTATCTAAAGTATTTACCTTTGCTACTATTAGGGGAATGGGGAGCACTTTGTATCTTGCCAAAAGTTGCTCTGCAAAGTCTTTACCCAATCACTGCACTCTATCTGAATTTGTTGTGTTCGCATTTTTATCTGTTTGTTAGAAAACAGATCCCTGCTGTAACTGGTTATTTTATCCGAAGTCAAGTTTGTCCACCTCCCAAATTGCAGTTTTACATTTTGATGCTACTTCATTATTTTCCTGTGCAGGAGGCGACTGTTCAACATGATAAACAACTTGCCCACTATATACGAGGTAGTGACAGGAATTGCCAAGAAGCAGTCAAAGGAAAAGACTCCCAACAGCAGTAGCAAGAGCAGCAAGCCCAGTATGAAAGTGGTAAGTGCAACAGCCCCTTTTTTTCCGCTACAAAAATGTTGTTGTGGAATCGCCGCTGATCCACTCTTGCTTATGCTTGCTGGGTGGTGCAGCTCTCGAGAGCCGAGCCCCGCGCAAAGGCCAAGGTGCCAGTCCCCAAGGACGAGGAGGAGAGCGGCGAGGACGAGGGCGATGACGAGGAGGAGGAGCACGACAACACCCTGTGCGGGACCTGCGGCACCAATGACGGCAAGGACGAGTTCTGGATCTGCTGCGACAACTGCGAGAAGTGGTACCACGGCAAGTGCGTCAAGATCACGCCCGCCCGGGCGGAGCACATCAAGCACTACCGGTGCCCGGAGTGCACCAACGGCGGCTCCAACAGCAACAAGAGGGTCAAGACATGAGCGCGCGGCGCCGGAGAAGGAAAAGCTGCGCCGCGCTTGCTGCGAGGAAAACCAAGCAATCTTCGCCCAGCCTCTAGATATCATCTATTCATGGCTTAGTTTCCTTCCTAGTCTGTAAGCGTGCTTCATCGTGTTTTAAAAAACTATGAGATTTTCGTGTGTGTTGACATCAACCAGCCTTTCTTTCTACTCCCTCCGTTCCTAAATATAAGTCTTTGTAGAGATTCCACTATGGACTACATACGAAGCAAAATTAGTGAATCTACACTCTAAAATGCATCTATATACATCCGTATGTGGTCCATAGTGAAATCTCTCCAAAGACTTATATTTAGGAACGGAGGGAGTAGCATGTAAACTCTGTCGACTGCCAGCTGACCATTGCTTCATTATTCGTGGATCCTTTGTAGTTCGTGACTCTGTTGCCGTCATTCGTGTTGGCATTTGCACTGATCCTGGGTTGCTTGCTTGAAGCTGTCTTGCTCTGTTGATGGAACACATATTTGTCAGGATGTTTGGTTAATACTACAATTCCATCATTCCTAGTAGTATTGACCAAACATCCTTCCAAATATGGGGTACTACTTTGGTGGTTGGGTGTTTTTTTTTTTGTTTTGTTTGACACTGGAATAGTTGGGTGATTTTTCTCCCTGCTGTCTGTCTTGCTAAAGTTGTGTTGCAAAACAGCAATGACTTACAGGATACACTTTTTTTTTTCTGAGAATCACTTGCAGGATACACGGGTCCCTCCCTCCTCACAGGTCTGGGCCTACGCGACGCAGGCGAGAACGGGCCGCACGGCGAAGCCCAGCCCACCAAGTAGCGAAAACCGGCCACTTTCGGAGCCCAAAACTAAACCCATCAAAAAATCTCGTCCGGCCGTAGACGACCCAAAATCCGCCGCGCCGCATCCAACCCCTTCCTTCCTTCCGTTCCTCCGCCGCTCCGGTGGCGCGATGGCCGCGCGGGCCCTCCTCCTCCGGGCAACCGCCCGCTGCTGCTCCCCTCTCCACTCCCCCACCGCCGCCCCGCGCCTCCACCCGCGGCTCCGCAGCCACGCCGCCGCCGCCGCTCCCCAGCTCCGCTTCCCCGCGCTTTCCTTCTCCGCCTCCGCCGTGTCCACCAGCTCGCACGGCCCCAGCGGCGGTGACGCCGGCGAGGGGGAGGATGACAAGGGAGCGTACGAGAACTACCTGGGGATGAGCGACGACGAGCTCATGGCGCAGTGCGACATGGGCACCTTCAAGTCCTCCGGGCCCGGCGGCCAGCACCGCAACAAGCGCGAGTCCGCCGTGCGCCTCCGCCACCACCCCACCGGCATCGTCGCCCAGGTCAGCTTCCATTCTCCAGTTGGGCTGCGAGTGCCCAAAACAGAGTGGTTGATTTAGCCGTGATGTCCAGCCCAGTGCTTGAGTGCTTGACGGATGTTGGTTCTAACGGTGAACTTGTAGCCTCTGGGAGATGGAGTACTTGGCACTTCCCAGAATATCCACACCATTGTCAGTTGAGCTTTAGAAGCGCATTGCCTAATTGAGAGATTTATGCTTCAAGTCAATTAACATAGCGATTATTAGTGTGTCCACAACATCAATCAACAATATATGCACCCATCATGGCGGACAGAAATTTTTATTGCTGTACCTACAAAGATCAATCTATCATTGTTTCAGTTAGTGCGCGACAACCTTCATCGATGTCTTTGAACCCAAACAACATCTTGCACTAACCCTCTTAAATGAACATTCTATGCAACGCTTGCCTTGTTCGTGTTTGATCAGTATGGAATGTTGCTTTCCCTACTGAATTCATACGGCCATCACACTGAACTTCAAAGTTCAAACCAACCAAATGTCTGATTCTTAATATATATTTTCCCTTCATGTCAGCCATCTTATGTGGTAGAACTAGCTCTTTCTCCACTCCTTTGCATGATAGTTTATCTCATTGTGCTTCCCCACAGGCTGTGGAGGATAGGTCACAACATAAGAATCGATCGTCTGCTTTATCTCGGCTTCGGACCCTGATTGCTCTTAAAGGTAAATCTGATGTGCTTCAAGTTATGCATGTTTTAGCTCAGTAAATGTTTAAATAATACTCCGTCTGTAACTTTCTAATAGACGTTTTTAGAGTCCATGACAGTGTCAAAAAATGTCTTGTATTAAGTTACAGAGGGAGTATCATGCATACCCAATACCACAACTTTGTGACCTAAACAGCTCAGAACTTATTATGTTAGTTGCAAATAACCCCAAGGCAGCAACCTAATGTTTCAATAATTGTTTAATTGATCACCATGCACTTACTCATAATTTACAGCAGCAAAAATGTCGGGTTATGTTTACATCATTCGTTTTCAATTTCCATGGTAGTCATGTAACATCTTGGTCGTTCACATCTTATCAGTTAGGAGGCCGATAAACCTTGATAACTACACTCCTCCAGTTGAACTTCTTCAGATATTGCCACTGAAGTCTACCATTCGATCAAAGGATGTTGGCAGCCAAATTGGGCCAAATAACCCAAAATTTTCTCCAGTATGCTTCTCTTCTTACCTTAAATATGCCAAGTGTGTTTTTATCTCATGCTCAATGTTACCAATTTGAATGCTTCCATTTCCAATGTTCTCTTCTGTTGGTGAGCAGGGAATGCAAGCTTTATTAGATCTTCTATTTGCTGTTGAAGGTTCTGTATCAGAGGCAGCGAAAATTCTAGGGTAATGCATGACTTTCTAGTCTTCTTGGCAAGTGTAACAAAACAATCTGTTATCAAAAATGGGTGCTAGTTTACAACATGTTCAATCCATTTGGTTTTATGAAACCATCTACTATACAATATGTTGAACTACTTGACATGATGCAGCCTAAGCACTGGTGCCCTGTCAAGGTTAATTCTATCAGATGATTCTCTCCGAGCGGCTGCAAATGAACTGCGAGCCTCCAAGGTATTCCTGCAAATCAGTGTCCAGCTGGTTGTACATGTCTGTTCGTTGAGAAAAGAACAATACAGATCGCATGCCAAAAATCTGCACTCCATAGTCGAGTTCCAGCAATAACTAGTTATGTCACCCAGTGTACCCAAGCTTAGGTGTACTATGACTTCAGTTTCCAGATCACCAGCCATGATATGATCTCCTATTTCATACTAGCATTTTTTTTAAATAAGATTATTTGGAAATTTATGCTAGCTAAATCATGGGTCAATTTGTGTTACTGAAACCGCATTGTCATATTCCCCATCACATCCAAGTTTGAGTCTTTGCTGAACTCTGAAGCCACATTTCAGTCCCAAATTCTGCAATTTTTGAGTAGCATGCTGGCTACTCAAATGAAGATCTTAACCACATATCTGTCTCCACAGGGACTGAAGCCATTAAGATGATGCCCCTTTACAATGTTATCATCTTCTGCTGCGCCACAGGTGCCAAGGTGTCTCATTGCTCATGATTTCATGGCATGCCATTGGAGCTTATGCCCAATTCCTTAGCGCAAGAAATGCAAAACGTACACAGGGTCTGTCTTATACAGGGCCATCATCATGCCTGCTTGTTTGTCTCACACCATTGTAACCTTGTTGTTGTACAGTGCAATTGTACTTTCACATGTCGCCATCGCTTGATGATGCCTTCAACAAATTGGATCTACTTTTAAGCCATATAGTGTCTTTTTATTACCAAACTACTCTTCACATTTGTGTGTCCATTTGCTGCATTGCTGTCAACTATGAACTCAAACAGAAAACCTTGCCATATATTCATTGCCACGGAAAGAATGTTACATACAGGTTATCTATCTCGTGTATGAGCTACATGTTTATTTTTCTAGTTCCCAAGAGGCCAAAACTGTGGAAAGGCAATGGAATGTCGTACTGACAAATTCATACAGGTGCCTCTCAAATCAAGTAAACATTGTTAATATTGGCCCTATTTATCGTTCATCAAACGCTCAGCTAAGAGCATGTCATCAGGAGTAGTCACCTGCAACAAGTTCACATGTCGAGGTTCAGTTAATTCAAACTTAAAAGTTCAGAATATACTCCCTCCGTTCCAAAATAGATGACTCAACTTTGTGCTAACTTTAGTACAAAGTTAGTATAAAGTTGGGTCATCTATTTTGGAACGGAGGGAGTACTAGTTTAAATAGCTAACATGATACCTTGATGTTTGTATAAGAGCCCTCAGTGATATAAACAGGATGTTTCAAGCATTCTACGATGGAAACATCATCAGTGACCTCAAGGCCATCCCTGTGAGTGCAAAGTTTAATCAGCAAGAAGAAAATGAAATGGGAATTAGCATATCAGTGGATTATATTTGCTGTGATCCAGCTAACCTCTTAACAAGCTCGAAACCATCTTTGAGCAAATTAGGCTTCATCACCTACAATCAGAATATATTTCTAAGTCATACTGTATCCCCCCACATAAAAATGAACATGGAGTTATGGGAAATACAAATCATGAAATGTTCTTATTAGAGGCAATACTATGATTACCTGTGGAGTTTGCATCTCCCAGAGGGTTTTCCTATCGAGGGTTTTTACGACGAAAGAATCGCTGTTGGCCTGGAGACAATTGAAGAGAGAGGATTAAAGTTGCACAGCAAGAATGCCGTCGGAACATCAATCATGCAGTATGCTATTATTAGGTAATGACCGAGGATCTTTGCAAGCTCATCTTTTATTGATGAATATCTAGATGTATAAACAGTAACCTCCTTTATAGTAGCTTTGACAGGCACACCAAGAACAGCTGCTCCATGCACCGCAGCATCTTCTAAGACCTAGTCAGAAAAATCAAAACCAATATTGTTACTTGAGCGAACTGCAAGATTTTACAAATGTTACCTTTCCCCCTTTACAAAGTTACTATGAAATACCAAAGCACCAGGATTAAATAAGAAATTCTTCAATTTTTCTCAAGGCAGCATAAAGAAGTTCGAAGCCAGATATTTTATCATGCATGTAGTATAATTCACAAAAATATCAGTTGCGACTTCTAAGGGGAGAGTTTTCTGTTAGTTGATGACTGTGCAAGAAGTTCCCTTCATAGGAGAAGAAAGAAACAAATCCAGGAACATCTTACAAGGCACGCTATGATGGATAATTCATGCTGGATCATAGAAGGTAACCTTTTTTACATCTTCAGAGGATACCAAGGGTCTTGCAGAATCATGGACACAAACAAGTTCTGAATCTCCATCAATTTCCTATGGACAAAGTTTTTTGTTCACAAATTATACAAATGTTGAAGATATCTACAATATTGGTGTACAAAAGCAACATAACAAGCAGTATAGGTGGGCTACCACTAACCTGAAGTCCATTAAAAACAGAGTCTTGTCTCTCTTTTCCCGGGGTTGTAAATTTAATAGGTATTTGCAAGTTTTCAACAGAACCTGCGGAAACAGTTGACTGATGAACATCTTACTCCGAGGCTGTGCTGTATCATTCTTTAAATTTGGTCACAGGACTTAATTATAATAAGGCGTAGATGCTAGATTTATAAAAACATAGTGAAAGCAATGAGTATGGGATGAGTCCAGACGAACCTTCAAATAAATTTTTGTAGGATGGATCACACACCACCACGACTTCTTTCACTTCCTTCATTCCACAGAATGTCTTTAAACTGTGGGACAGAAATGTAAGTATTTCGTGTCTGCATGAAATTGCCAAATCAGGGAATTAATAGGTTCTACACCAAGGAAATGAACCTGTGCAGTGCAATTGGTACTCCCAGTAATGGTAGATACTGCTTAGGCATATTGGCCTGTTACAAAAGGTGGAGGGGAATTTAGGTACATTCATCATCCACTGAAATGATTCGCTAGTTCACTGCGAAATACAAAACTTATTTCGAAGCAGCACAATTCCTCACAGCAGATCTAAAATTGATGCCATCAAGCATTACACTGATGCCTGTTCATTTTGTTTAACACTACTCCTAATGTTCAAGAAAGATAGAAATCTCTTGTACGCTACATTTATCTTCACTTGTAGCGCGAAAAAGTCGTATAGATACACCATCAGAGTGCATATCAGCAATAGAAGAACAGCTATGGCATTTCCCACCAGAATTGTCACACTAATGTAATGAACATAACCCGGAGCAATACACAGAACACTGTCAAGGACATAATACACTTGAGAACAACAGCCGCTCGTGGAAGCTAAGTTTGGAGCATGATGAGATAAGAGAAAATACCCCCATTCTCTTTCCTTGCCCTCCGGACAAGAGGACCACCGAGACGCTCCTCTCCTTGACAGCCTCCCCGCCCTGGCAAAACAGAGCCCTCGGTCAGTCAGCCAGAAGAGCTCACACCACATACGCGTGTCATCCAAAATCCACCGTACCTGCGCGCCGCCCGGTTCAGCAGCGCAGATGGCTGAATGCGAACGCCTCGTGCTCCGCCGCGGAGCAACCCCGCAGCTCCCACCTGACCACAGTTGACCCCGAAAAAAAGGAAGGCCTCAGTACAGCAGCAGCGGATAAGCAGTTACAGACAATCGGACTGGAACTCTAGCAAGTTCGCAGCCCCAGGGGCGCCGGGCCAAAACGAACGGATTAGAGGCGATTGGCCTGGAGCAACACGAGCGATCCTCACCAATCCGCAGGCGGCGGCCGCGGCGGGACGCGGGAAGCAGCACGGCCGCGGGGCATGGAGGCGGCGTCGGGGCGGAAGGGGGCCGCGCGTGCGGGTGGAGGTGGAGGCGGAGGCGGAGCTCCATGCCGGAGGCGCTGGTGGGTGGCCCAGGGAGGGAGAGGGCGGGTGGTGCTGCTGGCGATGGGCGGCCGGAGCGGAGGCGACAAAAACAGTGGGAGGAGGCATCCGGGAACGGAGGTGAGTGTGGTGCGGATACATTCCGGTCAATCTCCGCCGTCCACGAGTTCTGTTTTCTCCGTCACGTGCTGGGGAGGTCTACCGTTTTACGTCAACGGGTCATAGGTTCCCTTTTCCAATTATTATCCAATCGGCTCCTCACTTTGTTGTTGTTGTTGTTTACTGCTTTTTTTTGGCGAAATGTTTTTTTTTTGCGGGAATTGGCGAAATGTTGTTGTTTACTTGTTGTTTATGGAGCATATCTGAGTTTTCATTCTTCACAAAAGGACCATCAATCAAACCTTCATTATTTCTCACTAGGCTCACGGCCACATGGACAAGGCTAAACACCCAAAATGCAGAGACAAGCCTCCGCCACACTACAAACTATAACTCACCCACCAAAACGACCGACAGGAAAATACATCATCGAGTCATTGACGTCGCCGTTGGCAATATCGTCGAGATGGGAAGCCGAGATGGGCAGCCTCAAAACATGAAAAGTTGCAGTTCCATCCGGTAGATCGGGACCTCCACTCACTCCCACACCAATAGGGTCGACAGAGGAGGAGGGGGGTGACGATCTACCGAAAGAAGTTGGCGTGCAATGGACCTAGATCGATTCATAATGATTACGCTTATATTTTCAGTTTCATGATTTTTTTCAAATGTATAAACAAATTTGGCATCGAGCAACTGAAGAAAGATTTGATTGACCATATGTGGGCGGTTAAAGGAACAACTAGTACATATGTAAATTACTTTGTTCGATTGTAATATTTAAATTAAAACTACTACTATATTGCAACAATTTTTAGCTAAACTAAAGCTAGATATGCAGCTATTTTGAGTGAACCGGAAAAAAATGAGGTTGTGTGTATGCGGCTAGTTTTGGATGACTGGCTCACACATCAATATTTACGGACTGATCCCTGGTACGCAGACGAATGCGGTGTCCGGTTTAGGGTTCCATGTTAGAGATGTTGTTGGGTTAGGCGCTATGCTATTGGAGTTGCTCACAGGTTAGCTAAAGAGCGGGTTAACAATGGACTTCCTAAGGTGCAGTTTCATGCCACACCCCGATTGTATTCTACTCGGGATGGGAATGGGTCGGGTCCCTAACCTGACCTAAAAATTCGAGGTCAACGGGTCATGTGGGTGGGTCTCAAACGGGCCGGAACAGGGCCGGCGTCAGGTGGCCCGCTGGATCAGCCGGGCCGGCCCATCTATAGTCTTAAATCTCACACCAGTTACAATCTTCGTCGCGTCCGTGTTGCTGTAGGACCCGTTTCTGCGACGTAGTCCGTGTTGCTGTTACACTAATCAGATTTCATTATAAATCATGCCTAATTTTAACATCTTGTTTATCCACAAGTCAATGGAAAGCAAAAAAAAAAAAAAACCCATCGGGCCAACAAGGCCATTGACTATTTTTTATATGGATCGACCCGCCTCTCAAATTGGCCTTGGGGCGGGGCCACAGGGGCCAAGTCCGGGTTGGCCCGTTCCCATCATGACATCCTTGCATATTGTGTCGGCTGAGATTTCGAAGTCCGAATGCTGTTTAAGTAATACTCATGAGAAGAAGAAAAGGATCCAGCTATAAACGGAACGAAACAGCTCGTTTCGCCCCATCGGCCGTACTAACCCAGATGCAGCAGAGTACCAGAATATGCTGTTGCAGCGGCAGACAGAGGGGAAAACACTTTCAAGCTAGTCTGTCAGTGACGGCCACAGCCATGTCGCAGACCACACATCACACAAGATTTAACTCAGCAGCAAAACGCTTCCGATTATTACAACAACAAGCAGGTACTAGTATGTACAAGCATCGACATGAAAACACACTCCATCCGAAAAACTGCAACTTACAACAAGCGGCCCTACAAAGGCGCATGACGAACACCACATCTCAAAGCACAGCAAAAAAAGGAAACAGCTCTTCCTACATTCCGACGAACACCACTCACGAACAGGCTACATACAGTTAGCAAGTCCTCTCCATCACAGCGACGCTACTACCAGCAAGCTTAAATATACGTCCCTCTAGGGAACCTACTCCTATGCAGTTAGCAGTTGGAGGTCGCCCTCGGTCTTCTCATGGCTCGGCGCGAGCATATCTCCTCCCGCGTTATTGTTTCGACGACCTGACAAGTCTCAAGCATCAAATGATTGGGCAACAACAGATTTCTGGTGTAAATGCAAGTCAAGGGGGGCAAGAACTTACGAGTTACAGCTTCTTGGTGTCCCCGGATTTCGGCAGCTGTAGTTGATACAGCGGTTAGGGGTTGCACGAGATGATAGGCTCGCTGGTTCACACCTAGGCCGGGCTCCAACACATGTTAGTTCAGCTACCAACAACTCATCAGCATCATGTCCCGTCTTCGTCGAAAAAGCTAGAGTAACAGCTAGAGATGGTATCATCCCGTCGAAAAAGCTAGAGTAACAGCTAGAGATGGTATCATTCCGTCGATGGTAAACGGAAATAGTGATGTCACTGCGGTCTCGTGACGCATAATCGGGCCTTCCCAGGGTTAAGAAGTGACTCCGACATTATCCAACCCTGACATGCAACGAAAAGGAATGTGGTTAGTCATGTACCGAGGGTTTCAATCAAGCGGCTTGTCACAATTATGTCTAGTAGTTGGGAGTGCTAGATAGTAGATAGCACACTTATCACAAAGAGAAGGAGCGTTACCTGTTCTTTTGCTTTCTTCCTGAATGTTCTGTAAGACGACGACACAATTTTGCAAGACTCTGCGATGTGTGCCAGGAAATCCATGTTCCGTGGGTGCGGGTTCCCATAGTGATCTGATCGATTGGAGCTCATCCTCTTCCTTTCATGTGATACATTGATGAAATGCAGCAACACATGGGCCTGTAAAGCAGTATCGTTATCAGGACGTAGGACAATTAGGGACCACAAACACACCTAAAAGCCAAAATAATTGCAATGCAAACAGCTGCTTACATGGAAAGCAGCTTTGAGAATGTCATCTGGCTTTGCTGGGTCCTTGAGTAACGCATATACTTTATCCTTCGTTGGGTTATATGTTACCATGTATCGCTCATCCTACAATTAAGATAGGAAGTATTATAGCCATACCAAAAGAAGGAATGCAGGAAATATACTGGTAGTGGCCACTGGCATTTAGGTGTACCTCAAACAAAGGCCTTGTGGCAACAAATGAAACAGGTTCTTGAAATGCTTCTCCAAATCGTGATCCTGAAAGAAAGTATCAGACTGTAAAAAAAAACATTCCATGTACAACGAAAGGACCAGAGTCAGAAGAAACCATAGTGCAAACCTATTGAAACTGGCTCATGCCGCCAAGGATGAATAAATATTGTCTCCTGCGAGTTTCCTTCCTTCAACGAAGGAACATACCCTGTACCATGAAAGGTTGGAGAATCAGGTACTACATAAAATTGCAATTAAGACAGAAGATGCATCTAAAAGAGACCACAATTAGAACTTCCAGAGACTCTAAAAGTCCCATATGGCAGTTTCGAGCTCAATACTGTGAGTGCAAGGATAGAAGAGAATATGTCCAACCTATTGTGCTGACACACACCAAAAGTTCATGTTTTCACCATGGTTATGGATTCATGAAAAGGATCTTGGTACCGGTCAAATCTTTTCTAAAGCCTTTTGAATTGTTACTTTGCTATGCCTAATACTGTATTTGGCTTCGCTTTAGTAAGCCTTTCACAAATATAAGTGCCGCTTTACTAGTCACATTAATATAACTGATAAAGATCAGTGGTTTGTCCATATAAACAATTCTAGAAGTATGTTTGCTTTTTCTGGAACAATTCAAAGCATAATATCTAAAACAATCAAAGCAGAAATCTGTGATTTACCTGTCTTAATAAAGGAATCCACTGCAACAGTAAACCTTGCCCTGTTTAGGGTATTCAGCACGACAGACCTCACCTGGTAAGAAACTCAGTATCAACATATGGCTTGCAGAGGGAACAACAAGACCCAAGAAATAAAGTATTGAAGTGAACCTCATGATATGAACTCAGGAGATATCCACATGATAGCAGGGCAAATGAAGTCACCAACGATGGGTTCCGCTTTGTGATAAAGATGCTCAAACCAGTGCCCAGCTTCATGTGAAATCATCAACAAAATAATGTCAGAATTGCTGCTAAATTAAGTGAGCAGATGATATCATGTACTCATACAACCAAAAGCTCAGGTCACACCATCAAATAATGCGAGTAAATCAGCCAACTCAGTTGCATGCCTGATTAATGTGCCACTTGCCCAAAAAGTTCAAGGAAACATGTTAATAATTACCAGATCTGCAATGTTCCCGACGGATTCGCCTTTAGCAGTCACATCTCCAATATTTTCTCCTCTTGCATATGCCTTATAGATTGGGGTGCGAGTTGACGTCGACGTAACAGCAGCGACATTCTAAAAATGTTGCATGAAAAAACAGAAGTTCTTCATCAATACTTTCAAAACAGTGTCGAGTATATGTACTTCAAATCCAATCACTGCAACTTTGAACAACTAGCGAGGACAGACCTTTACAACATTTGCAACGCAAGCCATAGGCAAGAAAAACTGAGGGAAGGCTGCAGTAGCTAACTCTATCCCAGCACCTATCTCCAGCAAGAGATCACTAGAAAAGCGGAGCTACAGAAAATTTCAGTTTCAGTTAGTCGTGCACATGGGACCAAGAAATTGGAAATAAAGTACAGTAGATAACTACTCCCTCCGTTCCAAAATAGATGACCCAACTTTGTACTAAATTAGTACAAAGTTGGGTCATCTATTTTGGAACGGAGGGAGTAGATGGTAAAAAAATGTAAACATGCTTTAAAATGTTTTACCTGCTTTAGGTCATTGTCAAACTTCTTTCCTTGTCGTGCAAAAAGCATTTTTCCAACACGTCCAGCACCGTCCTGGAGCAGGACCACAATCACAACTATATGATTAGAATAAATAATACATGTATGATTTCTAATGACAAGAAGCAAAGAAGAGCATATCAGCCAATCAGAAGATATTGCTATCAGATGACCAATAACTGTTTATCGCAAAAAACTCTTCTACTCCCTCCGATCAAAATTAATTGACGCATATTTAGTACAACTTTAGTACAAAGTTGTACTGAGTGCGCGTCAATTAATATGGATCGAAGGGAGTAATAAATTTCTGATTTGTCTTAAAATGAATCAGCAGAAAGGTATGATGACCTAAACAAATAGATTCTTGAATAGACATGATTTGTTTACCTTGAGGATCCAGTTGATAGCAATGGCACCCGGGGTAACCTTGCTTTGAGAGACTCCGACGGAGCTCAGCAAGGTTCTTGTTGTGAACACACCCATTGCTCCACCAAAAAAATGCTGAACAGTGAACAAATCTCAGCATGATACATATGAATCAAGACAGTGAATACTGAACACAAGTTCTAAACTGTACCTTGAGAGCTCTCCAGGTCATGTATGGGACGTATGAAGGAGTAACACTGTCTGGAAACCCTTCAGGCACAACATACGATCTTACGAACGCCATTATTTCCTGCAGCCATAGTGTGTAATGGTGTTATTTAGTATTCTAAACGCTCTTATATTAGTTTACAGAGGGAGTACTTTATTAGAGATAGAACATAAATGTGGAGTGATTTCAACTCTTCACGCAGCACTTTAATCTTCACATAATAGTGTAGAATCCTCTATTCAATAGTTGAAAACAACTGCTACACAACTTAACTCCAAAATGAATTCCATTAATGCCGTTTTTTTTCTCTAAAAAGGATGAGAATAAAGTGAAGAAGACAACTTCCACAGGTTAAAAAGAACTTTCAGTCAGCAAGCAACTTAATCTGGCATGTGTAGTCCACTGCAATATTAATTTCCTACAAACTACCTTAATCCCAACTAAAAATTGACGGTGAAAACAATACTACTTTGGACTAAATTTTACTTTGTACTACAGGAACAAAGTCATAGTCCTGGAAATACGACACAATTTACTCTCCCGGTTTCACCTAAATAAAACAAAACTGCCTCGAAAGTATCGAGTCAGTACACTCCGAAGAATTACAGAAAACATATCTACATTGTGCAGCTGCACAAATAATCTACAATTCGCAGATGGCTACGCCTCGCGTACACCAAATTGCCGAAAATCCACAGCCAATCCCCCCAAATCAAACCGGAAACCTAACGCATATCCACCAGACCACCAAAACACAACCAACAGCAGCAAACACGACGGGACGCCGCAATTCCACCGGACGGCTCACCTCGGCGGGCGGGAGCGGCGACTGGAGCGGCACGGCCCGGACGGAGGCCCCGAGGGGGACGGCGGACCCGCCCCTGCCCCGGCCCTTCCCCTTGCCCTTCCCGGGGGCCGCATCCACCACGTACTTCCACCGCCGGCCCTCCACCTCCTCGAGGCAGAGGAAGCCCTCGAGCGCGGGCGCGGGCGCTTCCAGGGCCGCGGGCGCGACGGCCTCGGCGATCGTGGAGGTCCGCACGGCCTCGCGCACCAGCCGCGCGTCGGGCGGCGGCGGCGGCGGCGCCTGCACCGCGACGGCCTGCGCCGCGGCGGTCCGCTTGATCCCCACCGCCGGCGCCATGGGCCGCTGCGCGGAGGGCGAGCGCGGGGCGCTGCTTAGTCAGATGGTTGTCGCGACGGGCGCACAGGACAGGACAGGAGGGCTGGGCGAGGCGAGGCGAGGCGGAGTGGTTGGAGAGAGAAAAGGGAGGGCGGAGGGTTATATTGGCGGAGCCGCGGAAATGCCAAGATGGAGGTGAGAGACCGGACAGCGGAGAGAGAAAAAGGTTTTATAGACCGGAGGAAGTCTCTCCTGGCTCCGCTACGGGCACCAGCGCCGTGCACCCACTTTACTTGTTGCCCTTCACGGCGGGGCAGCCGGGTCCCGGCGGCCGGAACGTGGTGGTCCGGCGTGGCGCCGGATGCACGAACTGCTACGGGCACACGGTTGACAACCAGTTTTTTTTTTGAGCATCAGTACAGACACAAGCGCTCATATACACGCGCATACACTCATTCCTATGAACGCACACACGCACACCCTACCCCTATGAACACCTCCGAGAGACTGAGCCGGCATATCATCTTGAGATTTACGAAGCCACCGTAGGCGCCTCATCGTCGACGGGAACGTCTCCTCCACTGAAAGCGCATCGCCGGAAATCCTGAAATAAATCCAGGAATAATGCGAGCACCAGGATTTGAACCCTGGTGGGTTGGGGATACCACTGTCCACCTAACCAACTCAACCACAGGTTGTCTTATACATAATGACTGTTCGCGGGGTAGGGTTGTCTGCGACATCCACACGTTAATAATTATTGGAAGTCTATGCCGGAAAAATGGTTGGGATATGCCGATGTGGTTATCCAGTTGCGTCATTAAAAACATGAACTGCAACATGGTATATATCAACGGTTGAAAACACAATTTCTTGCACGCAATGAATATTTATGGATGGTAGGTTGTTACTGTGATCCAAACGTCAGTGATTGTTGCAAATTTACGGAAAGAGGTGATCGGTGCATGCTAGCTTGCTGGTCTAGCCTGACACCGAAAATGTGAACGCTACAGACACGCGAGAAGTTGAAACGCCGCTATCTTTACACATAATGATTGCTCCGCGGGATGGTGTTCTATCTATGATCCATATGTTGGTATTGGAAGTTCATGAGGGAGGGATTATCGGCTTATGTCCACATGATGGGTAGTGTGGCAACAAAAATGCGAGCCGCTACAGACATTGAGAGTTAACACGATAATGCACAAGACAGGAAGGCGGGGCGGGGCGGAGTGGTTGGAGAGAGAAAAGGGAGGGTAGATGGTTATATTGGCGGAGCCACGGAAATGCCAAGATGGAGGTGAGGTGAGAGACTAGACAACGAAGAGAGAAAAGGTTTTATAGACTGGAGGAAGTCTCTCCTCGCTCTGCTACGGGCACCAGCGCCATGCACCTACTTTACTTGTTGCCTTTCACAGCGGGGCAGCCGGGTCCCGACGGCCGGAGCGTGGAACTGCTATAGGCACACGGTTGAAAACCAATTGCCTTGCATGCAAGCGATGACTGCTTTGCGGGGTAGGGTTGTTTGTGGCATCCACGCATCCGTGGTTATTGGAAGTCTATGGGAGGAAGATGGTTGGGGTATGCCGACGTGGTTATCCAGTTGCGCCATTGAAAATCATGAACTGCAACATATATATTAGCGTTTGAAAACATAATTTCTTGCACGCAATGAATATTTTTGGATGGTAGGTTGTTACTGGAATCCACACGTTGGTGGTTGTTGCAAATTTACGGGAAAGAGGTGATCGGCGCATGCTAGCTTGCTGGTCTAACTTGACACCGAAAGTGTGAAGGCTACAGACACACGAGAAGTTGAAACGCCACTATCTTTACACGTAATGATTGCTCTGCGGGATGGTGTTCTATCTATGATCCATATGTTGGTATTGGAAGTTCATGAGGGAGAGATTATCGGCTTATGTCCACATGATGGGTAGTGTGGCAACAAAAATGCGAGCCGCTACGGACATTGAGAGTTAACACGATAATGCACGCAATGCTTGTTTGTGAGATCCCTGCGCCGGTGGTTGCCAAACGTTTACAAGAGAGAGAGATGAGCAGTGCACACCAACAGGGTCGTCTAGTGTGACGCCAAAGATGAAAGTTGAAACACCATAATCTTACACACAACGACTATATTTATGTGTAGGGATGTTTTCGGATTCACACGCAAGTGGTTAATGAAACGCCGCTATCTTACACGCAATGACTGTTTGTGGGGTAGGGTTGCTTGTAAGATCCATATGTCTGTGGTTTATCGAAAGTTTAAGAGAGAGAGAGAGAGAGGGGTGACTAGTGCATGCCAACATGATGGTCTAGTGTGACATTAAAGATGAAAGTTGAAACGCCACTATCTTACACACAATAACGGGAATTATGAGGTAGGAGTGTTTTTGGGATTCACGCGTGAGTGACTATTAAAAATTTATGAGGAAGAGATAGGAGGTGCATGCATGTCAATGTGATGGCTCGGTGTGGCATCAGAGACACGAGCTGCCATGGACACAAATAGGAGAAAAACAATGGTGTAATCTAGGATAGTTCATGCGGATCAATGTATTTTGTCACGGACCTATATATCCAAGATAAGAAAGAAAGCCTAGCGATTAAGCATCGGCTTTCTATTCCATCTAGCGACATATACTCATTTTCTTGTATGAGCCATTTGATTTGTGGTTGCACCCTTTCCAAGTCGAACTTAGGCTTTCCACCGTTTCAGACTCCGGAACCCTAGCAGGGCGACAACATGCGCCAGCTGAAGGCGAGTTTGATGTTCGATCGTGCGCGGCAAGTATTGGTAGGAGTTCCTGCCATGCATCGGCAAAGTGTACAGTTTCGTGCTTTTGAAGTTTGTCAAAAAATTATTATAATATTGATTATTATTATGATTTTGCTTCAATTGAGGATTGGTAAACGAAAATACCGTGCATACGGTGCCATGATCCGTTCAATGTCTGACATCGATATGAATCACTGTGCGTGCGACCTTTTTCAGTACGACTTACGTACGATGCTTTTTTTTTAGGGTGACTTACGTACGATGCTTACTTGGATGGCTGCGAGCCCAGGTAACCGATCAATGAATGGCTCCAATTGTTTGTCATATGAAAATCATACAGGAGATGTCGTACGTGTGATAGTGCTCATGACTAAAAACGAGACAATTTAAGTACAGGGGTTGTCGTACATGTACCATCGTTCGTTGGTAAATCATATACTCCCTTCGTCTGGAGATTTTAGTTTTAGATACAATCATTTTTATTCATTTATTCGACAAATATTTTCGGGTATAAGAAATTTTTATTGTAGAATTAGTGTTTTTCTCACTCATAAGAATTAGTGGATTTTTTTTTCTCGGGGTGGATAATCCTGGTTGGGAGTGTACTGCGCCGGGCGGGGGACGGCGGAGACTGGAGGCGTGTGGCCGGTCCATGGGCTCAGATATTTCGGGGGGCGCGTGGCTTCTCTCCCCGCGCCGCGCCGCGCCGGTGGGCCAGCGGAATCAGAGCCCCGTGCGGTGGCGTTAAGTACGAGGTGGGGGACGCGCCGTCGAAGTGGCAGCGAGCGGCTGTAGCATGCACGTACGCCTCTGCTCTCCACTCCACTCCGTTCCGTTCGTACACCTACAGGCCACAGGGCTGTGCCCGCCCGCGCCGCGTCCCAGCGCAATGCGGCGCGGCGGTATCACCGGGAAAACGTCACCACACAAGCGCGACGTGTCACGCACAGCGACCGGCCGGAGGGTAAAACACGTGCGAGGCAAGCGCGTCGCCCACGGTGACTCCCGTTTTCACGTGCCCGGGACATGTGTAAATCGCGGCCGCCGACCGCGCCCACGAACCTCGACACAGCCTCCTCGGGATCGCGCGGTGCCAGGCGCTTTCTGAACCCGCTCCGGCGTCACCCTCGTCCGTTCCGCCGCTACCGGACGGAGAGCTGGCGCCCGCCCGCCGCGCGCGTGAGCTGAAGAGCGGTGGACGGCCGAGCGGCCGCGCAGGTGGCGCGCCCCGGGCGGCGCTGGTGGGCCGGCGGGCGCCGTGTGGCCGCGCGACGGACTGACTGCCGCAGGGGCCGCCAGTTGTGCCGTCGGCCCGCGTCCAAGTGTCGGGCTGCATGTTTTTTTTTTCACAGCGCGGCGGCCGCGGTCTGCGCGGTTTGGCACCGCCCGGCGGTTGGCCGCTCGTACGAATACGTAGACAGAGACTCGGTTGCCGTCTCATGGAGTACAGTGTTGAATGTTTTCCTTTTCCTTTTCCTTTTTCTTTTGCTCTGAAAATATTTGAACGCTGCCGCTCGATCACGAGGAGGCATGAGAGATGGAAAACAAGTGAAGGTTACGTGCAAGAATTATTATTTTTGCTACTCCGGCCGAATAATTTGACTTGCACGCAGGGCCGGTGAAGTTTGGTGGTCGCCGGCCACGGTTAGGTCGTTCGGTTTCACCGATCGAACGACGCTGGATGGGGTGTTGGAACAAGCAAGTCGTGTAGCGGCTGCTCAGGCGCAGGAATGCCACTCATTCAAGCGGCATGGTCAAAGCGTTTTTCAGGTTTCGCGGGCCATGTTGCCCAGCACATTTCGCGTGACCTCGGAGCGCTGTTCCGTGGCGCCACTGCCCACGCACGGCTTCGGTGTCCTCCTGACGGAGCTGACCACGACGGAGAGAAAAACTTGTGTCTGTTGGTTGGCGATGCGCGGGACTATCTAGCCGGCCGGGTCACTCAGATCGTCAGGCGGGACAGATATTTTTTCCTCCGTTTGTAAATATTTGTCTTTCTAAAGATTTTAAAAAGTGACTACATACGAAGCAAAATAAGTAAATTTGCGGCCTAAAATATGTCTGTATACATCCGCATGTGGTAGTCCATTTAAAATCTCTAAAAAGACAAATGTTTAGGAACGGAGGGAGAGAGTACCTCGTTATCTTCCTTGGGTCACGTCGTGCTAATCACAAGGAACTTGTTGCGTCATTGCATACACCAGACGAGCTCGACGACGCCTTTCGCCGAGGCTTGTTA